ACATAGTTCCAGCAGATGGTCGTCTCTTGGAAGGTGATCCTCTCGAGATTGATCAATCTGCTCTCACTGGTAAGTCTTTACCAGTGACCAAGAACCCTGGCCAAGAAGTTTACTCTGGCTCCACCTGCAAACAAGGAGAGCTAGAAGCTGTTGTGATCGCTACTGGTGTTCTTACTTTCTTCGGCAAAGCTGCTCATCTTGTAGACAGCACAAACCAAGATGGCCATTTCCAGAAAGTGTTGACTGCTATTGGTAACTTCTGCATCTGCTCCATCGCCATAGGTANGGAGAGCTAGAAGCTGTTGTGATCGCTACTGGTGTTCTTACTTTCTTCGGCAAAGCTGCTCATCTTGTAGACAGCACAAACCAAGATGGCCATTTCCAGAAAGTGTTGACTGCTATTGGTAACTTCTGCATCTGCTCCATCGCCATAGGTATGATCATTGAGATCGTTGTCATGTATCCTATCCAGCACCGTGCTTATAGAGATGGTATCGAGAATCTTCTTGTGCTTCTCATCGGAGGAATCCCTTTTGAAATGCCAACTGTTTTGTCTGTCACCATGGCCATTGGATCTCACCGTCTCTCACAGCAAGGAGCTATCACAAAGAGAATGACAGCAATTGAAGAAATGGCTGGGATGGATGTTTTGTGTAGTGACAAGACTGGAACTCTGACACTCAACAAGCTTACCGTTGACAAGAGCATGGTTGAGGTTTTTGTTAAAGACTTGGACAAAGAGCAGCTTATGGTGAATGCAGAAAGAGCCTCTAGAGTTGAGAACCAGGATGCTATCGATGCTTGCATAGTAGGAATGCTTGGAGATCCCAGTGAAGCAAGACAAGCCATCACTGAAGTCCATTTTTTCCCTTTTAACCCTGTGGACAAGCGTACTGCTATCACTTACATTGATTCGAGCGGAAACTGGCAATGTGTCAGCAAAGGCGCACCAGAACAAGTANAAGCGTACTGCTATCACTTACATTGATTCGAGCGGAAACTGGCAATGTGTCAGCAAAGGCGCACCAGAACAAGTAAGAAAACACATATTCTAGAGAGTTGTTGAGTTCTTTCCCACTGATTGGTCTCTGTAATGTGCAGATCATTGAGCTATGTAACCTTAGAGAGGATACAAATAAGAGAGCTCATGACATCATTGACTAGTTTGCTGACAGAGGACTTCATTCTCTTGCTGTTGGCAGACAGGTGAAAAAAGCTTTTTAGTGCCAATCCCAGATGTTTGAAGACTATGTCTTTCTATTGTTAAAATGCTATTTTCTTCTTTTGGCTGTTATTAGACTATCTCTGAGAAAGACAAGAACAGCCCTGGAGAGCAATGGCAATTTCTTGGTCTGTTACCGCTCTTTGACCCTCCAAGACATGATAGTGCAGAAACAATCAGGCGTGCCCTTGACCTTGGTGTCAATGTCAAGATGATCACTGGTGACCAGCTCGCCAATGGTAAGGAAACTGGTCGTAGGCTCGGTATGGGCACCAACATGTATCCTTCTTTTGCTCTACTTGGACAGGACAAGGATGAATCTATATCTAGAATTCCTGTTGATGAACTCATTGAGATGGCTGATGGATTTGCCGGTGTCTTCCCTGGTAAAAACAATAAAACTTAATGTAGCATCCATCCCATTGTCTCTTAATGGATCATTGTAATGAATCTGTTTCATCTGTCTGATTAGAACACAAGTATGAGACTGTGAAGAGGCTCCAGGAGATGAATCACATTTGTGGCATGACTGGTGATGGAGTGAACGATGCCCCGGCTCTCAAGAGAGCTGACATTGGAATAGCTGTTGCTGACGCCACTGATGCAGCGAGAAGTGCATCTGACATTGTACTTACTGAGCCAGGTCTCAGTGTCATAGTTAGTGCTGTCTTGACGAGCAGAGCCATCTTCCAGAGAATGAAGAACTACACAATCTACGCAGTTTCCATCACAATCTGTGTAGTGATGGGGTTTATGCTGCTTGCACTCATATGGAAGTTCGACTTCTCACCATTATAAGAGTCTGTCATGTCCTTCTCTATGACTAATAGATAAGCTTTCTTATATTTTTTGCTTGCCTTAATCCTGTTCCAGGCTTACTTCCAAAGAATCAGAAATATTGATTACAATTGAAATGTTAGTATATGGAAAATAAATAAATTATTCAACATCTAATGAGATTAACTTAATGTCACGTTATCTTGAATATAATAAAATCTTATCATTTAATTGTGGAGTAAGATTCAGTTTAAAACTAAAGTCTGTGATGATCTCTGTTGCTTGAAAACTTTCTTGCTTGTGCACCGAACACAAACACGTGAATACTTTTTCCAAAATTACTAAACCTGCCACTACGAGAGCACATAATTTTTTTTTTGGTCAACGAGCACAGAATTGTTTACTCTTTTAATATTCTTATAAATGATTTATAGACCCTTATAAAAACTTTCTATATATTCATATAAATGATTTTTGAGACTTTATAAAGCAATTACCTTTATAAAATTTTACAAATTTTTATAAATGATTTTATAAAACTTTATAAATATTTGGTATATTGATAAGGGTTTATAAATCATTTAGAGATTATAAAACCTTATAAATATTTGGTATATTGTTATAAGTGATTTTATAAGGATTTATAAATCATTTATAGGAATATAAATAAACTATTGATAAAGGTTTATAAATGATTTCTAAATCTTCATAAATGATTTATGTATCACGTTGGCGATCTTTAACTCCATTTTACTAAAGTTTTTGCTGCTGCCTTTCAGGAAAGTGAATCAGACAGTGATCTCGATGATGAATCAGACAATGATCTCGATGATGATCATGTAGTGAGCAATAATAATTTTGCTTACTTTTGTGTTGTATGTTTAAACTCTGTGTTATAATAATGAACACTAACCCATACCTTATTAAAATTCATATTAGTCTTGAGACGTGCTTGCTTAATCTTTGTTAATAGCTTTATCTATCAGAGCTAATAAATCTATTTACAATTGGTTATCAAAACAGTTTATAAGGATTTCTAAATATATTATTAAAGTATAATTCATTTATAAGAGTTTATAAAACCAGTCTATAAGGATTATAAATAATTTATAAATGTTTATAAATCACTTATGACGATTTAGAAATCATTTATAAACCTTTATCAATAGTTTATATATTCATATAAATGATTTATAAACCTTTATAAAATAGCTTATAAATGATTATAAGAGTTTACAAAGAGTGATGAATCTTTAATAAATGGTTTACAAAGGTTTGATTCATGCTCTTCAGATTGCATGTAATAAGTTCTCAGTGGCTCCATGTCTGCATTGAGCAAGAGTGAATTAAAAAGTGAAGCTTCTGTCGATAAGTAACTAAAACCTTATAAAATCCAGAAATCTTATAAAATTTTATATGTTGTTGACAAACTTTATGAAATAGATTTAAAATAAGAGTACATATAAAATCATTTTATAAGGATTTATAAATTATTCATAAGGTTTAAAGTCATTTAGAAGTGTTTATAAATAATTTATAAGGGTTTGTAAAACATTTATAAGGTATCTACATTTATAAGAGTTAATACAGTATATATAAAAGCTTATATATTATTTATATAGGTTTATAAGGGTTCATTAACTGATTTATGAAATCTTATAAACTAATTTATAAGAGATTTTATTTAATTTACAAGAGTGTATAAATTAATTCATAAAGGTTTATAAATTGATTTATAACACTTTATAAATTGATTTATAACACTTTATAAAATATCTACTGGATTCTATAAGTTAATTAAAAAAAAAGTCAAGTCTTATTAAATATGCTAACAACATAAAGCATATAATGTTCTTAATACAATCAGCTTCATAACAAGTGAAAAAAAAACATTATTGATAACAGACTGTTTCCACTAGAGCGTTCAACATCTCATGACTTTGTTGTGCCAAGAGCGTTTCTGAGATTAGAGTACTTAGTTTCAAGCTCATACCAATCACCCAAGTTCACAAAACGATTAAACTCCTCGAAAGTAATCATCTTTTCCAAATGATCTTTAGTTGTTCCTTTTTCCTTGAGGATCTTGAGGACGTCCACAAGAGCACGAGTTGATGCATAGAGTGAGTTATCTGTGGTTAATCAGAATGTTCTCTAAATTAGTTTAATAAATATTTCATAAATTAACAAATAAACCTTAATAAATTAGTTTATAAGCCTTTATAAATCTGCTTAAAACTCTTATAATGATATTATAAACCTTTATAAATCATTTTATATCTTTATAAACACTAATAAGTCATTAATAAACTCATATAATTCAAATTAATTTTATAAACATTATTAAATAAACTTATAAATCTTTATAAATAAATTTATAAGTTCTTATAAATAAGTTAATACTTCTTATAAATAATTCTATAAACTTTTATTAACTATTTATAAGGGTTTATAAATTACTTATAATGGTCTCAAAATCATTTATAATGTCTATAGATCATTTATACATATTTATAAAATTGTTTGTAAATTATTATTAGTTTTTTATAAGGATCCTTTTAGTCCTTTTTTCTAAAGTTCAGTGAGATGAATCTGTTGAGATGGAAAAACAATGATGAAAGGTACAATGCCTTTGAGATGAGAAACTGTTGTATCAAATTGAACAAACATGCTGTATACATAACTTGGCGAACACATACTATTAATAAGCTTGATGAAATCACATTCCTGTTATTTCTGCAACATAATCATCAGTCTTGTAGCAATATTTCTTACACAACATAACTAAAAGAGCTAGAAACTGTTCATTATCACAGCAAAAGAAACAACAGACCTCTTGGTCTTGTAGAATATACAAAACCTAGGTCTTTGATGATGATTTCTTCTTTGAAGAACCAGCTGTTTTCTGCTCTGCTTTCTTGAATAGGTTGGCTACTGTAGCTTGAACGAGCTTACCGAAAGAAACCTAATATGAAACTGAGAATCGTACGGTAGTTAAGTATGCTTACACGTAGAACAGATATGCAGCAACCAGGATGTGATCCGTTTGCAATGTGAGCAACTTCTTGCACAGCGTTTCTATTTGACAGAACATCCCACTAATACACCAACAACACAGAAACATAGTGACAATCTAAAACACTTGGATGACTATTTTACTTAATGAAGTTGTGTATTGTGTTTACCTGAGGACGTGTTCTTTCATCTTTGAGGAAGTTAAAAACATTTTGAGGAGAGTTTGGGAGCCAGAAGGTAGTAGCTGCACATAAATAGTGCCGTTTGGTTCAGGACTCTTATGTGCAGTCACACGGACACCAACTTGGTTTAGTTCAGCAACAACTGTTGAGTGAGTGTTGTTAGATCTGCTGACACTTAAACAGTAGTTTCTGACCATTCTATGAGCAAGTCTCATCATGCTTCTCTTCCCTTCTGGCGATGGAATCACTGAAAAATGTTGCTCAAAAGAAACCTAATACACTTAACCTAACATCAAGTGATTCCCCGAAAGAAACCTAATATTCACACTTTCTTAATCTACCACCTAGCTTTGCTTCTGCTGTGGTTTGTTGTTTGTCTCTCGCCGAGTTTGAGCTACCAAAAACTACTAAAGAATCTCATTGTCAATATCGTCTTTATCTTCCTCGAGATGGTTTCTTGGAGGGAGTGAGCTTCCTGAACCCGGCCTGTAATAGCATAACTACAAAGAAACACAAAAGAAAGCATTAGATTTCATAACTGACTATCCATATACATAGCTTAATCGAACTTGACCAATCTGTTAGCTAGTGCTTACAATGAGAAAAATAACACAATCCAAAAATCCCAATTCAATAGAATACATTCCCTTAAAACAATTGAAAGTCCGAGTCTTTACACCATACATAATGAAACATAACTCACGCATGCCAAAAAATTTAACTAAACTAAGTTACTACAAGTCTCTTTGTTAGATACATTTTATCTCTTTTATTGAAAGAGTGAGTCTTTCTTATTCGATCAAGTGTTGGTCAAGCTTCAAGTAAAGTGAACGAACATAAAACAAGACGAGATCTTTTAAACACGTGTGATTCACACAACTCATAACCTAGAGATCGTATCTGATACTAGATTAGCTTACATGAAGAAGAACAGCGACAAAGTCGGGTACATAGCCACCGGAATCGGACTCCCAATTGGTTTCGCCGCCTTAAAAACAACACAAAAACTGTAAGTTAAAAAGAAAAAGAGATCTTCGGTCTTCTTCTTCGACGGAATCTAGACTTTATCATTTTCGCTAGAGAGAAAGAGAGATCTTCGTTCTTCTTCTTCTTCTTCTTCTTCTTCGATCTGAGCAACAATTGACTGAGAGTACTCCGGAGCTCCGATCGTTTTCGATCCTAATCTCGTCCTCCATAGCTTCCTGATATCGCCGGTGATAATCGGACGAGATTTAGAGAAGAAAAAAATATAGTTTTAACAATTGAATTGTGGAGGGATAGAATAGTATTTTGCATATCAAATTTTTTTGTGGTAAAATTGGTTAAGGTAAAAAATGAAATAGGGTACTTTGAAAGTGGTAGATTAGGTAAATTCCCTTAAATCATTCGGTCCACGATATATTAAACGGGACATATTAGGGCAACCTTAGTTAAGTGTCTTAAAAAGAGGTCCTCACCATATTTATATCTTATATATTAAAACAGAAATCATGACTTGACTTCATGTGTGATTTTTTAAAAAATGAACTATTACTAAAAAGTCATGTTACATTAACTCTCTAATAATATTATCATTATTATATCTTATGAAAAATCATATCTATGATAACATAGATACGCTTAACAATTTGGTTTTGGTAAATTACCTCACACCTTCCAATTTAGTCATGCAAAATATGTCAATGAGTATAAGTTTAGGAATCTTCTATTATTTATAAGGAAATATGTCAATAATAGTTAAATGCATCCACAATATATTAACCAAAATCACAGATTCGTAATATGAAATATTTCTATACCCTAACAAAATTTACACGCTATATATAATAGATAAATTTATTCCGATGTAAATTTTTAAAATTATATTATTTAAAAAAAAAGAAATTGTTTAAAAAATACTTTTTGATAAAATTCTTTATAATATTAATTTATGAAGCTATAAGTTTAGTTTTTAGCAAAAATTTCTTCAAAGTTAATATTATCTTTGCAAATTAAAGTATACTAATATTTAATCAAGCTCTATTTAGATTAATTTATCTAAAAATGAAATACCAATCTAACAAACAATAAAATATAGAAGAAGAAACAAACACATGTTTGAAAAACATGTATAATATAAAAAAATTGGAACTATTTGATTAAAACACGTATTATATAATATTATTATGTTTGAAAAACATTTACTATATATATAGTAAATATGTGATTACTATAATATTTACCAATTTACAAGTGAAAGCAAAATGTTTATATAATTAACTATAAACGAAAACAAACACCCGCGCGGTTGCGCGGGTCAAAATCTAGTTAATCTTTTAATGCTGATGAAAATTTAATGCCTCTTACATATTTAAACCACTGATATTAAAACAGCGGGCAGATGTGTGGTTTGATAAGTTTTCAAATCCTAACTCCTTCTCTCTCCTATTTTTCTTAACTAGAGGCATATTTTCCGCGTAATCACGTAACCGAATACATTTTGATATATTGTGTAGTTTTGTGCATCGGATTTTGTCACTTTTTAACATTTGTTTTAAGAACTTTGCAAAATTTTCGAAAATTTTTAATGGAGACAAAAAAATGATATGTGTTTAGTAGTGTAATTTTCATTCTAAAATTATATTGTACATATACTGTTTTATTTGTGCTGTTATTGAAGTATAGATAACCGGATTTTGGTTTACCAAATTAGTTTCCTTTCACTGGTTTGGTTTCCGGTTTAGTTTGTGGATAAGTATATATAACAGAAATATTGTAAACATAATTAATTAACAGATCAATAAACATTTCTATTTTGATAATGGAGATCATCTTCCTCACGTAACTTTTCTCCATTTTCTGATCTTGTTCAGCACGTAATATGGTATCATAGCCATCACAAAGCTCTAATTCCTCTTGATTTCTTCCGATCTTCATCATCAACCTCATCATCCCTCTCTTATCTTCGTTTTCTGCACTTTTTGAGCTCCGATGGTGTCTATACGGAAGATCCAAACTCGTCGTTCCTCTAAATCTGTGGCGTCGACAAGTGCGACTCGAAATCCTACACGGAGACCTTCGCGAGTCAACGCAACAGATGAAACTCCTCCTGCTTCACCTCCACAAGCTCCGATTGCACCTCCACAAGCTCCAATCATCATCCCTCCGAATGATCCGACTCAATCTCCATTGTATCTCTACAATGCGGATCATCCAGGTCTATCTCTCATCTCGATTAAACTTGATGGATCTAACTATGATGATTGGAGTGCTGCAATGAGTATTGCCTTGGATGCCAAGAATAAAATAGGTTTTATTGATGGATCTCTTGTTAGACCTTCTGATTCAGACCCTATGTTTCGTCTATGGTCTCGATGTAACAGCATGGTTAAATCATGGTTACTCAACTCAGTATCGACTTCGATCTATCGCAGTATCTTGCGTTTGAATGATGCTGCAGATATATGGCGTGATCTTAATGGTCGTTTTCATATGACTAACCTTCCCAGGACATTTAGTCTGACTCAGGAGATTCAAGACATTCGTCAAGGATCCATGTCACTCTCTAAATATTATACAAAGTTGAAAACACTTTGGGATACTCTTGAGAGTTCTGAGGAACCAGATAAGCCTTGTGTATGTGGTAATGCTGCTAAACAACAATTGAAAGCTGATTGTTCCAAGATTGTTAAGTTTTTGGCAGGTCTCAATGAATCTTACGCGATCATTAGGAGACAAATTATCATGAAAGAAGTGTTACCGTCTTTGGTTGAAGTTTACAATATATTGGATCAAGATGACAGTCAGAAGGGATTCTCTACTATTTCTCCTTCTCCATCTACATTCCAAGTCTCTGAAACTTCTTCCCCTGGTACTGATCAAGTAGTCTGCTATGTGCAAAGTGGCCCGTACAAAGGACATCCTATTTGTAATTTTTGCAAGCGTCATGGTCACATAGCAGAACGTTGCTACAAGAAACATGGATTCCCACCGGTTTTTGTATCTAAGTACAAACATAATGAGAAGAATAACTCTAATCAGAAGGTTGTTGCTCAGGCTATAGGACACTCTCCATCTGTGGTTGATCAAAAGACTACAAACGTTGAGAATATGATTGGAAGTCTCTCTAAAGATCAGATTCCGCAATTCATTGCTCTGTTCTCCTCTCAACTCAATCCTTCTCCAGTCACATGAACCATGGAAGCAAGCACATCAAACTCTGGTATCTCATTCTCAACATCAACGTATAGTTTTGTTGGTATATTGATGGTTACTCAACATACTCTTTCATCTCAAACTTGGGTTACTGACTCCGGAGCAACACATCATGTGGCTCATGAGAAAAGTTTGTTTCTTTCTCTTGATACATCGGTTGAGAGTTATGTTAACTTACCAACAGGATCTACTATTAAGATCAGTGGTGTTGGGAAAGTTCAACTCAACTCACACATTTTTCTCAGTAATGTGTTATACATACCAGAGTTTAGGCTCAATCTTCTCAGTATCAGTTCTCTGATGAATGATTTAAACTCTCGTGTGATATTTGATCCTTCCTCTTGTCCTTCCTCTATGTGCTTGATATGGAGTCTCTTCAGGTCTCAGTGAACTCAGTTGTGGATATTGGAGTTTGGCACAGACGTCTTGGTCATCCTTCCTATTCAAGACTAGATGTCATCTCTGGGGTTTTAGGAACTTCAAAGCACAAGAATAAAGGATCTGCCTTCTGTCACACTTGTCATTTGGCTAAACAAAAGAAGCTTTCTTATCCATCTTTCAATAATATTTTTAACACAAACTTTGAGTTGTTACATATTGATGTATGGGACCGTTCTCAGTTGAAACCATTGATGGATACAGATACTTCCTAACAATCATTCATGACCATTCTAGAGCTACTTGGGTTTATTTACTTCACACAAAGAATGAAGTGTTGACAGTTTTCCCAGCATTCATTGAACAAGTAGAAAACCTCTATAACGTCGAGGTTAAATCAGTAAGGTCAGATAATGCTCTAGAGTTACAGTTCACTGAGTTGTATCAGAGAAAAGGTATCTTACCATATCACTCTTGTCCTGAAACTCCAGAGCAAAACTCGGTGGTTGAACGCAAACATCAACATATCTTGAACGTGGCTCGTGCATTGGCCTTTCAGTCTAATGTACCTCTTACTCTGTGGGGAGATTGCATATTGACTGCAGTATTCCTCATCAACAGTACTCCGTCTCAGTTGTTATCCAACAAGACTCCATATGAGATATTAAATGGTACTCCTCCAACTTACTCTCAACTAAAGTCTTTTGGATGCTTATGTTATGCTTCTACTTCTCTCAAGCAAAGACATAAATTCCTTCCACGCTCAAAGGCTTGTATATTCTTGGGTTATCCTTTTGGATATAAAGGGTACAAGTTGATGGATATGGAAAGCAATCAAATCTTTATATCCAGGAATGTATTATTCCATGAAGATATCTTTCCTCTGCAGTCTGCTACCCCAACTTTTCCCATACATAACCTCACACCAAATGATACCCATTCCTCAGGTATTCCTGAGAACTCTAAACACAAACCATTCCTCTTCCTTCAGAAATTTCTACCACCATAAATAAGAAACCACCGTCTTATTTACAAGATTATATTTGTAACTCTCTTTAATCCAATTCCCTATACCCCATTTCATCTTCTTTGTCCTACTCAAAACTATCTCCATCATACCTTTCTTTCATCAACCATGTCACCAGTATTCCCATACCTACTTCTTGGGCAGAGGTGAAACAATCTAAAGAATGGTGTGAATCTTCAGATAAAGAACTTGATGCAATGGAAGATACAAATACTTGGACGGTTGCTACCTTGCCTCCAGGGAAAAAGACTGTGGGTTGTCGTTGGATTCATTCTGTGAAATTCAATGCAGATAATACTCTTGAGAGACAGAAGTCCAGATTAGTAGCTAAAGGATATACACATAAAGAGGGACTCGATTACAATGAAACGTTTTCTCCAGTTGCCAAAATGGCTACTATTAAGCTCTTGTTGAAAGCTGCTGCTTCGAAGCAATGGTTTCTTACTCAACTGGATATCTCAAATTCTTTCTTAAATGGAGAGCTCGAGGAATAAATTTATATGAGGCCTCCTGATGGTTATGCTGATTATTATGCTAAACGTAAGGGGGACTTTCTTCCACCTAAAGCTGTTCTTCGTCTGAGAAAGTCCATATATGGTCTTAAACAGGCATCTCGCCAATGGTTTAAGAAATTATCTCAGGTTTTGGTCAATATGAGATTTACTCGTGGACATGGAGATCATACCTTGTTTTTCAAGCAATTGGCTAGTGATTTCTTGGTGGTATTAGTCTATGTTGATGACATACTCATTGCTAATACTAGTACCTCTGCTGCTTCTTGTTTCAATGCAAATCTGAAACAATGTTTTAAACTCCGTGATCTTGGCCCTCTCAAGTATTTTCTTGGTTTGGAAGTGGCGAGATCATCTACTGGTATTACTCTATGTCAACGGAAGTATGCCTTGGATCTTCTCTCTACCGGAATGATGGGTTGTAAACCTTCCTCTGTTCCTATGGTGCCTAACTTGAAAATGTCTAAAACTGATGGTGACATTCTTAAAGATCCTGAAATGTACATGCGTATTGTTGGCAAGCTCATGTATCTCACTATTACGAGACCTGACATAACGTTTGCTGTGAACAAGCTATGTCAGTATTCATCTGCTCCACGGTCAACACATCTTCAGGCTGTTTACAGAGTTTTACAATACATCAAGGGCACTGTTGGTCAAGGTATCTTCTACTCTGCTACTCCGGATCTTTGTCTCACGGGGTTTGCAGATGCTGATTGGGCCTCCTGTCAAGATAGTAGACGTTCTACTACAGGGTTTACAATGTTCATTGGTGACTCTTTGATTTCTTGGCAATCTAAGAAGCAACCTACTGTCTCACGCTCTTTAGCAGAGGCTGAATATCGAGCTCTTGCTCTTGCTTCTTGTGAGATGATGTGGTTAGTTGCCTTACTCAAGGATCTTCGTGTTGCTCAACTGTCTGTTTCAGTGCTCTATTCTGATAGTACTGCAGCTATTTACATTGCAACAAACCCAGTTTTTCATAAACGGACCAAACATATCGAGTTGGACTGTCATACCGTACATGAGAAACTAGATCGTGGGTTGCTTCGGAAACTTCATGTGAAGAGTGAAGATCAGATTGCTGATTTATTGACTAAACCGTTGTTTCCCTCACAGTTTGAGCATCTTAAATCCAAGATGTGTCTTCAGAATATCTTCAGCACATCTTGAGGGGGCCTATTAAAGTATAGATAACCGGGTTTTGGTTTACCAAATTAGTTTCCTTTCGCTGGTTTGGTTTCCGGTTTAGTTTGTGGATAAGTGTATATAACAGAAACATTGTAAACAGAATTAATTAACAGATCAATAAACATTTCTATTTTCATAATGGAGATCATCTTCCTCACGTAACTTGTCTCCATTTTCTGATCTTATTTAACACGTAATAGATGTATATGAGATTTATGGTCAATCGGAAAGGTTCAGGATAAATATTTATTTATGAGGAAGGATATGTTTTTATTTCGTTTGATGTTTATAACTGAAGTTCTAAATAGTATTGAAATGATATTGGAGGTTAAAACATAATAACCTTCCTTATTAATAGTAGGCCTGGGATTTTTGTCCGAACCGAATGGGTCGAACCGGACCGAACTGGTTGTTTTCGGTTTGGTTTGGTTTTCAATTCAGTTCAGTTCGGTATGGTTTTAAAAATTAATTCGGTTTACGGCCGGTTCGGTTTTTAATTTTTTTAAAAAAATTAAAAAGTGAAAATAATCGAAAATATCTGAAAATAACCGAAAATAATCGAAAATAACTGATAAACCGAACCAAAAATAACCGAATAACCCAAATATAACCGAATTTAACCAAAATAACCGAATTTAACCAAAAATAACCGAATATTTTGGAAAAATTACACCAAAGTTAACCGAAAACTTAAAAATTCGGTTATTTTCGAAAATAAAATTGAAAACCGAAATAAACCGAACCGAACCAAAATTTCATTCGGTTTATTTCGGAATTGTTTTTGAAATCTTTGGTTAACCGAAAACTGATGGTTCGGTTCGGTTCGGTTTCGGAAAACTGAAGTCGCTGGCCTAACTAATAGTATATAAGATGGACTCATAAAATTACTTTCCCCATACTTATATTATTTACATAGTTGTAGTTCTCGAAACGAATAGCGCATATGTCTAGTATTTTGTGATGATTAGATCAACGTCAAGTCTTCCAGTACTGTTTTGATTGTAGTCTGTATGGTTAGAATAACTTGAAGATCATTAACTAGGATTTTAGACTATTATGAGTAGAAAGTATAATTTTTGACATAATTATTTTCAACCAGTTATTTCATTATTTTGATATGAAAAATTAATAATTTTATTCGAAGGAATATGGGTGAATATATAAATTCCGTTGTACTCAAGGATTCTAAATTTTACAATGAAACCCGATTGTTGGATTAATTATTTAAAGGAAACTGTTAATATCATGAACCATAAAATTAATAATATCATGTGTCCGTCAACCAAGCATAGGACTACTATAATTTGGAAATGTTGTGTAGATTTTTTTAACAGATGGGAGTGTTTTTATTTTTTTCTTGCTTTTAGAACTACTTACACCTAATATATTAGTTGTGAAGAATTATCAAATTTGTAAAAGAATTTCTTAGTGTTAAAGTATCCTAATCATGTTGTAGCAATCTATTCAATATTCCAAATAACATAGGCTGTGTTTGTTTTTTCAAATGAGGATGTCATGTCTGTACTGTTTTTTTTTTTAAATCTCAGGCATGGAAAAATCTCAAAAATAGAGCAAAAATCATCTATTTTTAAAAACCTATTCTTCAAGTAACCATTTGTAACATGTTTTAAAACCGGCAGCCATTCCTACTAAGCATTCTTTTCAGGCAGATTAACCGTCAATTTTCTTTATCTTGAATATAATTAAAAAGTAAAACAATACACCAATACAAATGAATAATGTTTTAGTTGATAATTATTGATTAAAATTCAACATAATAAGAGAAAAGATGATTATTGATTCGTAACAAATCAATAAAAAAGGTGAAACCAAACAAAAAGCCTTATTGAGAAATTTTTTTTAAATACATAGTTCATGAAATCTTGAAGTCGACTAAAAGAGAGAGCATTAGAGTCCTTTGAAACTGAACTACCAAAAGGCGATTAAAACATCAATATAAATTTCAAAAGCTTTAATAAATTAAGATCTTGGCTTCTCCTTCTTCTCCTTGAATAGGGCCAAAAGTGAAACACCAGAAACCTTGACGACCTTGAACCCACAGCATGACCTTTACACCCAAATCCAGCAACACCTCGTCCTGAAACAAAACATTAAATACCGATGATTCAACATTTTGACAGTAACTAATCAAAGCAGCTTAAGGATTAGTTGAGAAAGGGTTGAGACGCCGGCTAACATTTTCCTCAATGTAGTTCATGAAACCATCGTTGAAAACAAAAGCAACAATCATATTGCCATTCTTGATAAGTTGCACTCTATCACACTTACGGATAGCAGAGTTAGGCTGCTTAGCTGCAATACCACTACATGATCAAACACATATATATAGACATCAGTTCAATGTACTTATTAAAAAGAGATTAAAAAACTCAAAGTCTATGTTTTAGATGAGCTTACATTTAAAAGAAAGTACACTTTTCAATGGCATTTAATTACTGGGACTGTTTGATATAAGATATACAACTGAAATCATGAAGTCATCCATGTATAAGTTTTTAAACATACAAAATATATTATGAAAATTGAGAATTACTAATAAGCAACACACAAACAATGCTTAAAATTGAGACTGACCTGGCATGGTGAACACTGTGGGACTGCATTGTTATAGCTGACTCGCACATATCTGTAGACAAAGGGAAAGAAAAGAGTTGCCTAATAGCATCCAAGTTTAAACTTGTGTTGCTTGAGTGTGCTGTTGGTGACTCAGTCTGAAGAAATGTTTTTGTATTTGAAGTTACAAAACAAATAATTCTGATTTTGTGTGTTTTGTTTATTGTAGCGAGAAACACAGTTTCATATTAATTTAAAGGCTAACACAAATTGTAAATAACTGAGTTTCATACATGAAAATTTTAATAACAACTCCGAGAGATGATAAATTGGTTAGGAAAAAAGCTGAAGCATATACATTTACAACTAAAAAGGAACAAAACATGACAAGTTCAAATGAAGCAAGATGTTTACCTAACCAGAAGTTGGGATCATTCGTTTATCTGAACCATCCCTAACCTCTTTGCCTGATTCTCACTTCAAAGCTACAGAAAAAATAAGTCCGTCAAAAATTATAGCTATAGGAAATCTAATTCTAAGAAATCAGTTATTAGATAAGAAATTGTGGAAACCTTTTTACTGTATGGATTTTAAAACAAACTTTTCTCACCAGTCCAGATAAAGAACACAAAACCAAACATCAACTCCACACGCATGATACATCTCTTACCAACAAATGGGATTAACTCCATTGAGGTTCCGCAATCCCCACTACCAAATCAATATGATCGATTAAAAAATTGTACATATTCACATGTCCTAACTGCATCAGCGGTTTGAATAAATACTCACACACTCTGCACAATATTCATTGGCATGGGCTGAGGGAGGAGTAATATGTTGAGGATGGGTTGATGTAATAAAGCGATAATCTTAGGGTTATCAGAGCATCTCCAACGGTGTTACCCGTTGGAGTCCTTAAAAAAATTATTTTTTTAATTACTTTTTTTTTTTAATTTTTACTGTGTTAAAAAATATATATATATATATATATATATATATATCAACCAATTGCGGGCTGCCACGTGTCGTGGAGACCCGTAAATAGTGCCAGCATTCGCTAAGAAACAGTCCTTATTTAGGGATTTTAAGGATCGAATTCTTAACTTTTTGTGGGGTTTACTGATTATTTAATTATTTTTCCTTAAAGACTCCCGTTGGAGGTGCTCTAATGTTCTTACCTTTTCATCTATTAGCAGGAGGGTAAGAGCCATGAACTCTGCATTCTTCTTGTTGTTTCATGAACCAAGAAACGAAGAAGCCAACCAACAATCGAGTGAGAGAACTGACCAAGGACGAGATCTTCAAAGGTCGTGCGGAGAGCAACAACATGTTCAACGGAGTGACGACTAACTGAGAGAGTAACGATTCTTCACCTGAGGGGAGAGAGAGGTGAGTATCAAGATATAGGCGAGATACCGAGTTAAATGAAATGGCAATTGATAGAGGTGTTACGGGAAGACTCATACGGTCGGCACTGAACGTCACTTGCCTTGAAGGTGGAGTTACAAAAATGAATCGTCGGAACTGGAAGATGGCGAAAGATCTAGAAGATAGGAGAAAACCCTACTCTTGACAGGCTTAAAATCCACGAAGCCCAACTAATAAGTTAACAAGACCCAAAAACAAATAAAGGAGGGTCCCTCCTACTCCTATGTGTACACTATAAAGAGTCATGAAACTGTATCATTATAATATATATTTCTTTTATTTATTTTTTCCCAAGAATCTCTCCTTAAAACTGCCGTTGGAACTGCTCTTATAAAGATTTGTTTTACATCTATTTTCTTTTATTACATCTACAATTTAGTTGTACGCACTATCCAGTGGTGTCCCTTTGGGTATGGGGCCATAGAAAAAAGAATTAGAGACCTATTTAACTATGGATCTATTTTTAATATTTTTATTTTTATTTTTTTGTATTTTTCATTGACATATTAACAGTAAACTGATTTTTTGTTCAATTGATATTATTATTTTCTTTTTTATTTTACCTTAACGTGAAATAAAAAAATTTACTACGAATTTTTTTTAGAAATTGGGGTTTTTAGACAATGGGAACCCTAGGCCCATGTTTTAGCTTGTTGTGCCAAGGGACGCCCCTAGCACTATCCCAATTATTTGCTAGCAAATCACTAAATTAATTTGAAAAATCTTAAAACAAAAAAGTTTTTAAGAGCTTTTTTGTTTAATGAGTTGTTTACATCATGGTCTGCATTTTTTATTTGTCTTACACTCATAGACACATTGTACATTAGAGATATTTTCCTTTGGCCCAAGCAAAAAAATCAGACAATAATACCTTTACCGAAAACTATGATATTGTTTTGCTTTCCAAATGGAAACCGGTTCGGTTAATGAGCTCGGTTTAGGTTAGGTTTATTGACTCAAGTGTATTATTTTTGACCGTCGGATCTGGATCTTGTGCTTTAAATCAAAAGCTAAAATTGAAATTTCAAAAGTAGGTTAGTTTGATAAGGACGTGAGTTTATTGAATGATGTTAAACCATAAACACTATGTTTTGTATATAAAAAACAGAGTATGAAAAAAAATCTAAACGCTACCATGGTGGTTTTACTGTCATGATGTTTAACTGTCACAGCTTCCTCCGGTGAAACCGGTGAAGGTTCATCGTCCACAGTATGTTCTCTTATATTGAATCATCTCTACAGTCCTCTCATCCACGACATTAACAAAGGCGTCTCCACTATGATATTTTCCGTACACAAATTCCATGTCCACAACTCATCCTTTCATACCTCATCCATCCACAACTTCTCTTTTTACACATCGTCCATCCATAAATCTCATGCCCACAACCACAACATCATCAGATAACCATCCTTCGAGCCCTCATCCACCCCAATCAGCTCCACCGCAACCTTTAGCATCGCCGACAGGAACCCTAGAAATCGTACCCATCCACCATAGTCACCGGCCAAGAAAGGAATCCAGATTCAAGAGGGGAATAAGACTAGAGGAACCGCCATCCCCTTAGCCTAATCCATCGTCATTGAAATCCCTCTCAACAATTCTAGCAGAAACTCTAGTTCCCGATAGATGACTTGTAGCATCTCCAGCGCGTCTCTATCGTCCTCTAAATTATCTCGCCATCGTCGACACCATCGAACCACCAGAACCCAGAATATCCCGTGGAGGTCCACCGCAAAGGGACCTAAACAACAAGCGGTGAAGATGAGAGATGAGCCACCAGAAGCATCAGGTCTTGTCTCTTCCATCAATTAAGTACATATCCGGATTATATAAGAGGAGAGGAGATGGATCAATGGTGTGGCGCCGAGTTCCGGTGAATCGGAGGGTCTTTCCTCGAACATGCAAACCAGGTGCAGTCACGGAGGCAAAATTGCAGAGGAGGAACTCGGATAACTCATCTTCTGATGCTTCTTCGAGAGCTTGCCTGAGCTTTGAATTCATGGAGTCTCCAATATAGTGAAAGAACAAGAGAGAATATGTGTGGTACATGTGAAATATGCCTTTAGATATAAATACAAACTCAAAATGTGCCTTGTAGATGTAAAAAAATTCTTCTTTAATAACTACATAATTTTCCTTGAATCAGAGACTAGTTTTAGATTAACTTCTTTCGTGGAGGATTTACTTAAAAAAGAAAAAAACCTAGGCTGGAACTTGTGGCGGGTCTACAAACGTAAACTATCTTTTCTCCTAGTACAGCCTCCTATGACAACTCGGTTAGGTAGCGTTGAAAGCAATACTCCTATAACCGGTTGAGCCAACTCGATTTGACTAAAACAAAATAATAAACTGCACGTCATTTTTCTAGTTAAATGTTATTATTTATCAATTCAAAAAAATTCCCATATATATTCATTACAGTATCATTTACTAGAAGTGTTAAAATTTCTCCAACAACAAAAAGAAAAGGTTAATTTTCTTCACCAATAGACAATAGTTCACAATATTCAATTTACTCTTACCGCTTACGCAACCCTTCTCCGCACGTCCATAAATTAATTTTTGATTTTAAAAAGAGAAGCATACCTGTTTGCTGCTTTTGATTTCAATGCTCAACTCAGACATATTTTTCATTATTTTGATAGTAATAATTTCAAAAGAACAATAATGACATTCATCGGATTCAATCTAATGAGACTCATTTTCTGGGTTGAAATTGCAGTTGTGTATCCAATTCTTATAACCGTTTCAGTTAACCAGTTTATTACATACGAGACCAAGTTTATATTCTTCCTTAGAAACGCCTCGATGCGCTAGATACAAGTTTGAATCCAGATGTTTGCACATGCACTAGCTAAACAAAATATTATGAAATACATTGAAAACTTTATAAATTAATAATGTTGAGATTACACCAAAATTTTAAATTTTATTAATTTATAAAAATTATTAATTTATCGATATATTAATTGAACCAAAAATTTAGTTTGAAAATATAAAATTATATTATTTTATAGAAATTTTTAGTGTATATAAATTTATAGAGTATTAATTTAAAGAGGTTATATTATAGTACAAATTTATAGAATACACATAAGTCTTTTTTTTGTCTTTTACACCCGGTCTGGGATTCAAATCTCATGCTTTCTAAACCGGTGAATTATGTAGATTATTAGAGAGAAAAATTACAAGAGACTTTTAGCATGACGCAAGGAGTACCGTCAGGAATGGATCTTATATGACGGTTCAGGGTGATGCAGTCAGATGTGGATCTACATAAGGCATGTAGAGTTTTCAACTATAATATCGTCTATGTAGCATATCTTATAATTTGTAATGTATAATTAACCAATATTAAAAAAAAAAACTAAAGCTATTAAAAGTTTACGTTTTTTACGGGCTTACGCTTTTTCTATTTGAGCTTATCTAGTCTTAGATGAATACATATGAACAAAAGTGGTACTTCTCTGTTTGGGAGTGCTTGTGGAAGTTTTTTTGGAAGTTGCCTCCACTTGTCTATAAATTTGTCTGACCAAATCTTGAATGAAACGCGATTGCAACGTGAACTTGGAAAATATACATAAGATTCTCCTCAACGGTATTAGAACTACCAATGTTATATCTCTCTTAAGGAGATAGAGTTGCAGAGAAGGGTAGAAGCAAACATGTATCCATTTTGAACAGTATTTATAGGCCTGTGAATCTGAGTCTTAACCCGCCCCATTTGACTCACAGCGGGAATGGTGTGGATCGAACAATTTGAAAAAATTGAATGACGGATGCGGGTTATGAGTATTTTATACAGACGGGAGCGGGTTGGTGGATTTTGAATCGTGGGTATCTGCCAATCCGTACAATTATTTTCTAATTTTTATATAGTTTTTTTTTGTTAAAAAGAGTGTTTTTAAAAAAAATATATATATGTTTTAAAAATACACGAACTTTAAAAAGTTAATAATTAAAAAAATTAAAAATATATAAATTTAAAAATATATAATTTTTAATTTTAAATTTATAATTTTTATTATTTTTATAAAAATTAAATTAAATAATTATTTTTAAAAAATAACCCACAAGTCCAACATATTACTCATAAAATTAAGCGGCATGAGTGCAAATATAAATTTATTTGTTTATGGATTGTGCGGGTCGGATTTTTTAACCAAAAACAAAAATTAAAAGCCACGGTTTGGCAGGTCAGTAAGGCGGGTTTGACCCGCAACCCAGCTCTAAATATTCACAATGTTCAAAAACACTATACAAGATAATCTTGAAGACAATCAGATGTTTTAGGAAAAAGAGTATATATTACTATCTCATATCTTGTTGGGTCGACGACCTATTTCCCCACGAGAAGTATCGTATAGCACCAAATGTCCACAGAACTATGACCCCGTTCTATTTACCCCTGAAAATAAAGTTTGCAACCTGTTTTCCATCAAATTAAAGTTATATCGATATTTTCCCACAATTATAAAGATGGAAATCTAAAAACCCACAAAATCGTTTTTTATTGGTTTACTATTTATAAACAAACCGTAGATCATGTTAAGCCAATGACTAACCGAATTAAGATGCAATCAGTTGGATATTTTTATGTTTGAATGTTGGATCGGGTTACTATTCTGATCTAGATAAGGGTTTGGTCGGGTTTTTAATTTTGTCTTGGTTTTAGTTTTGCTTGATTTTATTTTATGAGAGTGTAGATTTGAAATTCGGTTTTCAGAAATCATAACTAAATCAAATTTGGTGGGGATATAGGTTGCGAACTTTCGGGGGTAAATAGAACGGGTTCATAGTTTCGTGGATATTTGGTGTTATATGATACTTCTCGTGAGGAAATAGATCGTCGACCCTATCTTGTTAGAACTTAAAAGCTTACGTAAAACTTCTAAGGCTAGTGGTACTTTCTATTTGAACAAATTCATGCGATGCAAACATTATAAACATAAAAGGACATGTGAAGATTCATTAGATGTCCCCTCCTCAGGTTCTTGAGAATTTTGTTTTAGAAATCTACAATGGTTACAAATACACAGTAAAGAAGTTTTAAATAGCACCGATGTTTTTGAGGCCAAGGACAACTCCGACTCCGATGATATGACCAACGGTGCCACAAGCCAACGTGTCAGCCAGCGTGAACCCGGCTGGGTCACCCGTTTGTAGACCCGAGTCACGTGCCTCCAGCTTAAGTCCAGCCGTTGCTTTCCTATTGGCTGATGGTGCAAGTCCGAATCTCTCCGCGAACAACATCAGTGTCGTCGACGTTACCATTATCTAGTTATTAGAGAGTATTTTAACATTAATCAGTGCTCAAACTTCATTAATGTTACATTTGATTATTTTTCTATAATTACCAGATTTGTTGATGAACCAATGAAGTCGCCACACTTTGCCCCAAAGCTCCATTTCCCTTGCGTCTCATGGGCTGCACAGTTGCCTATGTTTTTTTTTTTAAATCAGAATTAATTAGTTCTAGGATATATATATATATATATATAACAAATTATTTATACAGTGATACAATTGATACAGTACTTAGATTTCAAATTTTCCATAAAATATGGTAAATAATTTCGAAGGAATATGCCATTAAAACATATAATAATCAACAACAAAATTGGCCACTAATATATATCTCTATTTGTTTGTTAATGCTTGTACGATTCTTAAATGTGTGTAGATAATGATGAAATCACATTTTTGAAAACTAAAAACAAATGAAAACGACTAACCAGGCCTTTAACAGGAGCTGCAGATATTTTGCTGGCTCGAAGACCATTAAACTGAGGCAGTGTAGTCATCACAGTGCTCGCCATCGACTCTACCTGATAACTTTTATTTTCTTGTGCGATCTCAGGGTTTTTTTCAGTTCTTGTTAGTCTTTAAATGATTTAGCTTAGCCAAGAATCATCGTGTGGCTTTGGCTATCACAGAAATGGATTCTGCTTCGGTTACTTGCTGACGCGTCAAATCATTATTGGTGGATTTTAACTCTAGATAAGTCTGTCGTGTCATATCACACCGCAGATTTTGTTTCTGAGCCTTTTTCTTATTCGGGCTTCACTTGAGGCCCATTAATATTTGGCGAGTTTAGGGGCTAGTGGTATCTTTCTTAGACCATGTTTATCAACGTTGCTTAGGGAGTTTTTAAGCTAATTTGGAAAGGTTAAAATGGATAATAAATAAGGGGCGTGACTTAATTAAGCCACGGAAGGGGCGTTGGTTAAGTGCCACGCGTCAAGAGTGTAGAGGAGAGAGGAGCGGTGTGGGGGGGGGGTTGTTTCGACAAAACCTTTCTTTTTCTCCTATCTCTTCCGGTTCTGATTCTCTCTCTTTTCTTTTGCGATTCGAAAGGCGATTCTCCTTTTTCGACGACGTGTGTACTCGCCGGTGGCTGAACTCGACGGTGGCTGTACTCAACGGTGCCTGTAGTCGAGGTGGCTGATGTCAAAGCGGAGTCGGACGAACTCTCTCTCTATCTTCTGTTCTCTGAGACGAAGAACAACGGTGACTGCTTCCGATGAGGCGAATCGAAAGGTAAACCTGCATGTTTCAATTTTTTTTTAGTTTGCATGTCTCAGATTCTTTTGCGTTTCATTTTTCTCTCAATCCTCTGATATTTTTAAGATTTGCGTATATTTAGGTGGATTGATCTAGAGGCATGATTCAGGTAGATATGTTCCTTATTCAGTGTCAATTTGTAATATAAATCGTTAGATATATTTTTAAATAATTTGTCTATGTTTTGGCTTAGGTGGATTGATGAAGCGGCTGTCGTGGTGGTTGATTGTGTCCGTGTGTAATAAGGTATGTTTTTATCCAAACTATGGTTTGTTTAGTTGATAAGATTTTGTTTCAATCTGAGTATTTTCGTTGTTCTGTGTAGATGGTCGATGAGGAGGCATCACTCAGTTTCTTTAGAGCAAGGGCGTACGATTTGTTAATAAGGTAAAGCCTATTTCTCTGCTCTGTTGTTATTAAGCAAGATTGTTGTTGCAATAAATCGATGCTTAGTTATGTAATAAATATGTTTGGTTGTTGTTAGATAGAGGTTATGTAATAAATAGCTTTGGTTGTTGAATTAAATCAATGCTTATCTCTGCTTTGTTACGGTTAGATAGAAATGAATTGTGTGGTGAGTTGATTGTGTTTAGATATATGTCTACTCGGGACAGCTTGGATGTTATCAATGCGTAGATAGGAGTTTTGGTTCTATAAAAAAATGCTCTTGTCTTCTTTCTTCAAAACAAATCAAAAACCTGTCTTCTTCTCTTCAAACTTCGACAGTTTTCTTCTTTCATATCTCTCAAACTTCATCTTCTTTCACATCTGGATTCTTATCCATCTTCTCAAACTTCTCGGTTTGTTGATCTACTTACTAGTCAACAAACGGTTTCCTTTGGAAACTTTGGTGATGGTGTTAATATTTCTTCATCTTCGAACTTTGATGGAGTTGGAGACACGGCAGCAACGCGTCCAACACGGTGCAAATGGACAGTAAATGATGATATTGTCTTGATCAGCTCGTGGTTAAACACGAGTAAGGATCCGGTGGTTGGAAACGAGCAAAAAGCAGGAACTTTTTGGACAAGAGTAGCCGCATATTATGCGGCTAGTCCTCTGGTTGCTGGCTGCGAAGAGAGAAAGGCTGCACATTGCAAGCAGCGTTGGCATATGATTAATGACCAAGTCAGCAAGTTCTGTGGTGCGTTTGAAACTGCTACCAGACAGATAGGCAGCGGCTATAACGAAGATGATGTTCTCACAGCTGCTCATCGGATATTCTCGGCCAACTACAACAAGAAGACATTTAACTTAGAGCATGCTTGGAGAGAACTTCGCCACGACCAGAAGTGGTGCGATCAGTCAACTTCAAAGAAGTCTGCGAGCTCGAGGAAGATGAACTATGAGGAAGTTGGAGATGAAGAGATCTCTCCAGCAACAGAAAACAAACGTCCCCTTGGTGTGAAAGCCTCAAAGGCAAGTGGTAAGAAGAAGGTGGTAGAAGAGAAAAAAAACTGATGACTTTGAGATGATGTGGACGATCAAAGAGCGAGATTTGGCTGGGAAGGAGAGGTTGTCTAAGCTGAATCTCCTTAAGAGTCTCGTTGGCAAACATGAACATCTTCCTGATTACGAAGATGACCTGAAGAAAACACTCATAAAAGAGTTGTTCTAAGTGGAGTTGTCTTAAATGTTTCTGTTTTTATTAAAAATGTTGTTCTGGTTGTCTTGTTTCACTCATGTAGTTGTTTAAATCTTTGTGTTTTTAATTAAAAATGTTGTTCTGCTTGTTCTGTTTCAATCATGTCTTAATTAAAATGTTTGTGTTTTAATTAAAATGTTTCTGTTTTATTAAAATGTTTGTGTTTTAATTAACATGTTTATGTTCTTGTCTTAATTAAACATGGTCTAACTGTTTCTTCTATTGCAGGTCACGAGAATGCAGTGTATGTCTTGCTGTTTTCTGTCACGAGAAAAGGAAAGAATGGATTGTATGTCTTGTTGTTTCTGTCACGAGAAAAGTAAAGAATGGAGTGTATGTGATGCTTTTCCTTGTTGTTTTCTGTCACGAGTGTGTGTGTGTTGTACTGAGTGTGTGTGTGTGTTGTTGTTTTGTGTCACGAGTGTGTGTGTGTTGTACTGAGTGTGTGTGTGTGTGTTGTTGTTCTGTTGACAGTGTGTTTGTGTATAAATAAGAAATTTCCAATCTCTCAATTTTCATTCTCTCTATTCTCTCTATCTCCAATCTCATTCACTCTATTCTCATTCGTTGTCGACCAAACCAAGGAAAGAAATATCAATCTCTCTCAACCAAACTACTCTATGTCAACCAAACCATTCTCTCTCAACCAAACAAATTCATCGAGCAAGTGAAACAAATTCATCGACCAAGTCAAACCAAACCAGGAAGCACCTCTCAATTTTAAGTATGATCTCTCAAATTCTATATAAATTCTTATAATCAAATTCTTGTTTACCCAATATTTTTAGAATTGTCAAATTCTATATAAATTCATATAAATAAATTATTGTTTACCCAATATTTTTTAGAATTATCAAATTCTATATAAATTCATTATAATCAAATTCTTGTTTACCCAATATTTTTAGAATTATCAAATTCTATATAAATTCTAATGTTTGTCATTTTTGTTTCAAGAACAGTTCGAACATGTCGTCTTCTTCTCATAATCAAAATGAGGATTCACTTGATGAAGCTTTCGACCAGCATTTTGATCAATATTGTGATGATTATTTCGAGCAAGCATTCGAAAATCTTCACGGTGATCAACAGAATACAAGAAGAAGAAGAGCCTTTATCGAAAGACACCGTGAAGAAGGTCATCTCCAGTTATGAAATGATTATTTTAGTGAGGCCCCAACATATCCTCATAATCTATTCCGACGACGATTCAGAATGAGCAAGTCATTGTTCATGCGTATTGTTGATCGCCTCTCCAACAACGTTGAATACTTTCGTCAAAAGCAAGACGCATCCGGCAGGATGGGTTTCTCTGCACTTCAAAAGTGTACCGCAGCTATACGTGTGTTAGCATATGGTTCAGCGAGTACCTCAGGCTCGGTGCAAGCACTGTTCGGTTATGTCTAGAAAATTTTGTCGAAGCAATAGTAGATTTGTTTGAAGATGAGTACCTGAGAAGACCAACAGCGGAAGATCTTCAGCGTCTACTTCATATTGGAGAGCTTCGGGGATTTCCGGGGATGATAGGAAGCATCGATTGCATGCATTGGGAGTGGAAGAATTGTCCCACCGCTTGGAAAGGCCAATATTCTCGAGGTTCGGGAAAATCCACAATCGTTTTAGAGACGGTTGCTTCTTATGATCTCTGGATATGGCATGCGTTTTTTGGACCTCCAGGTACCTTAAATGATATCAATGTTCTTGATCGGTCACCTGTTTTTGATGACATAATAAATGGACACGCTCCGCAAGTGAATTTCTCGGTGAACGGAAATACTTATTCAATGGCTTACTATCTCACCGATGGTATTTATCCGAAGTGGACTACTTTTTTCCAATCTATTTCACTACCACAAGATCCAAAAGCGGCTTTATTTGCTCAATGTCAAGAAGCTGTCAGAAAAGATGTCGAACGTGCTTTCGGAGTCTTGCAAGCTCGATTTGCGATTGTTAAAAATCCTGCACTCTATTGGGATAAAGTCAAGATCGGGAAGATTATGAGATCATGTATCATTCTCCATAATATGATAGTGGAAGATGAACGAGATCAAGGAACCCAATACGATGTTTCAGATTTCCATCAAGGAGAAAGCAGTGGAAGTTCACATGTCGATCTCAGTTATTCAACAGATACCCCTAAGAATGCATGATAAACGAACGCATCAACAACTAAACCGTGATTTGGTCGAACATATATGGCGTAAATTTGGACGTGATCAACAGAACAACTGAACTTCGTAGCCGCTTTCAAATAATTATCTTTTATATGTGTAATGTTTTTTAATGTTTTAATAATATTTTCATGTTTTTATTTTAAAATCTATGTTTCAAATAATATGTTTAACTTTGTGTTATTTATTAAAATTATGTTTAATATTTTTTTATTTTAAAGAACCCTACTTAAGATACAACCACTAAACTAATAAAATTAAAGATCTCTTAACAAAATCCCTTAAGTACATTTAAATACTAAAAAATTCACTAAACCACCCTAAGTGGAGAACACCAATAATCATGCTCTTGATGTTTACAAGAGGCGACTGGTAAAACTGAGAATAGAAAGGAAATCACATCATTTTCAGACATTGATTTATCGACGTGCGGACGAACTTGCCGTGAAGAGACTTTCGAGCTTAGTCAATTCTTTTCATCCACAGTTACTTTCAACCAAATCTCAAATGAATTATTTGGTCAGCTGGTGTACTTCTACTTTATATATAACTTAAAATTTATATCACTGGAACCTAAATGAAAATATATTTAACTATCCATTTATTTAATTTACTTTGAGTTCCACAATAACATTGAAAATTTGAAATCTAAATGAAAATTCAATGTTGTGTTTTTTTATATTGCTTCCACTAACTCCAAAAATGAAAGACCGAAAAGTTAAAGGAGTCAAATTGGTTGGTCTTAAATTCCATCCTAATATGCGTAACGTTAGGTTGTACAATATATAATCAGCTACTGAGTGTTTTTATGTAAATGTTTCTATCTACATAAAGGAATATACAGAATATTTATGATTGTAAATCATCATTAGTGGACCTGTTTTAGCAAGAAAATTGGAATTATATAACCTAACGCAAAAGCCGACACAGTAGACTCTTGTTGTTATTGTATGTTTAATTAAGCAGCCTGCAGCCGTAATTTATTAAAATCATCAAGCTGCCAAAGAATAAATTGTAAGAAGCCACTGTCAACAGAGCGTATTATTATTACTTTGACCAAGAAAATTGAAGCCGCCGTTTCCTTATCAAAGAGAGTTTTTTTTTTCCTTTTAATACTATCAAAGAGAGTTTTAGAAAATTAATTTCATCTAGATCGACTTGTTGGATTTGGTTTAGCTGAACCGGCACTGATTTTATTAGTATCACTTGTGCTTTACTCACATTCTAAACTAAACCGAATATTATACCGGTAATCACCGTCCGTACCGAACGATGTAATAGATTGGACCGGGTCAAAACATTCATTCTTCATCAATGATTTTGAGTCTTCATAGAAGCTACATATGCGCGTGTAATCATATAGACTTCTTCGTATAAATAACACTTAGAGACCACTTCCAAAACACATCAATCTCCTTGCTACAACACGACTTGTATCACCACTTGCACAATTCTTCGATAGATACGATAACTCAGAGATGGAGAAGTCAACGATCAAGACTCCATTGAGAAAGCTTAGAAGAAGAACAACAAAACGATCCTGGAAACTGAAGCAAAAGCTCAAGCTGGCATGGAAGTCTATCAAGATCCGTGTAAGGTCACATCTACCGGGTTGCTTGTCAATCAAGAAACACCTAACACACGTGAAATCAAGAAATCAAGAACCAGAATTAGCCCAAGTGGCCCGGAGGATCTGCAAAATCTCCAACGATGCCACCAATTCTCTAGCGTATCTACTTCAGCTACCAAAGTATTCAGCCTCTGATTTTCTAGACCGCGGCGATATGATGACTCCAGCTGCGTCTCCAAGGGAGAACATATCCAAGATGTGGCGTGAGCTTCACGGTTCCAAGAACTGGGAGAATATTCTTGATCCTCTGCATCCATGGCTGAGGAGAGAAATAACCAAATATGGAGAGTTCGTTGAATCAGTCTACGATTCACTCGATTTCGATCCTTTATCCGAGTTTTGCGGAAGCTGCAGATACAACAGGAACAAGCTCTTCGAAGAGCTTGGTTTAACAAGACATGGATACAAAGTAACCAAATACATCTACGCCATGTCTCATGTGGATGTTCCTCAGTGGTTCTTGAGCTCATCCTTGGGAGAGACATGGAGCAAAGACTCGAACTGGATGGGGTTTGTCGCTGTGAGTGGAGACAGAGAGTCGTTGAGAATCGGTCGGAGAGACATTGTTGTGGCGTGGCGTGGAACCGTGACTCCTACTGAATGGTTCATGGATCTTAGAACTAGTAAAGAGCCGTTCGATTGTAAAAGTGAACATGGCAAGAACGTTGTCAAGGTGCAAAGCGGGTTTTTCAGCATCTACAACTCCAAAAGCGAGGTCACAAGGTACAACAAAGAAAGTGCATCTGAGCAGACAATGGAGGAAGTGAAGCGGTTAGTAAAGTTTTTTAAAGATAGAGGCGAAGAGGTGAGCTTAACCGTAACCGGTCATAGTCTTGGAGGCGCGTTGGCACTTATGAATGCTTACGAGGCAGCCAGAGATGTCCCCGAGTTATCTGGTAATGTTTCTGTGATCTCCTTTGGTGCACCAAGAGTAGGTAACTTGGCGTTCAAGGAAAGGATGAACAGTTTAGGTGTTAAGGTGCTGCGTGTGGTGAACAAGCAAGACATTGTCCCTAAACTTCCTGGTATCGTGTTCAACAAGGTTCTGAACAAACTCAACCCCATAACTTCGAGGCTCAGCTGGGTCTACAGGCACGTTGGCACGCAGCTTAAGCTCGATGTATTCAGCTCTCCTTATATAAAACAAGATTCGGATTTAGCGGGGTGTCACAATCTCGAGGTGTATCTCCATGTTTTGGATGGCTTCCACCGCAAGAAATCAGGGTTTAGGGTTAACGCCAGGAGAGACGTTGCTTCGGTGAACAAGAGTACAGATATGTTGTTGGATCATCTAAGAATACCCGAGTGTTGGTACCAAGTGGCACATAAGGGTTTGATCCTCAACAAAGAGACCGGTAGGTGGGTGAAACCGGTCCGCGCGCCAGAAGACATCCCCTCTCCCTTGTCGACCGGACCAAGACCTATTTATAGCTTGTGAGAAATATATTTATTTCAATTCCCTTTATTCGTTTTTGTTTGACTCTTTTGTCTTTGTGAGTTTTGGCTATAACATTTGAATTCAGTGTACAAAGAATCAAGTTGTGAAAAAAAGATCAAGTTGTGAAAGTAATGTATACTAGAGTTTGACCAGTACTAAGCGCATATGTTTTTTTTTTTACAATTGCAGTTTCAGTTTTGTAAGTTTTTATGATTGATTAAGTTTTAAAATTCAAGTCTATCAAATTGTAAACGGTTTAAAAGTTAAACATTTGAATTCGATGAACATAGATTAAGCTGTGAAAGTAACGTGTATGGTTGCGTTTACAATTTGATATTTCTTGAATTTTTGTCTTTGTGAGTTTTGGTTACAAAATTTGAGTTCACTGTACATGGATCAAGTTGTGAAAGTAATGTATATGGTTGCGTTTACAATTTCATATTTCTTAAATATTTTGCCTTTTTGTGAGTGTTGAAATGTGAATTCACTGTACATGCATGGATCAAGTTGTGAAATTGTATGGTTGCGTTTACAGTTTGATATTTTGATTAAACAATGTACACATTAACGAAGAAGCGTAGACGCAAACATATATATATTTCCGTTTGAATAATCTTCACAGTTCCTAGTCAATAAATTTTTTTTTTTTAAATCCTAAATTGATTGCTTGTCTTAACGGTAGCTATTACAAAGTTTACAACAACCAAACAACACAGCATATACGAAGAAATATCCTAAACAAATCCTAAAATCACACAATAATAAAAGTAAATTAATGAGATAATTGAGGGTTAGATTCAAATTCTAAGCGGCTGATATTGCAGCGTAGTCTTGATAACGAGACATTGCACCTTTAAACTGGTGATCTTCTGGTTTGTGAGTGCTCAAGCTATGCGGAATGAAGGATTTGAAAATCTCCTCAAGGTCCGGACTCTGCTTCAGCTCACGGCAAGCCACCTCGAGAGCTGTGTGTTCGAACCCTGAGTAGAACTTCCGGCGGCAGACGTATCCGAAGATGAGAGAGGTGACAATGAGAGGAACCAAGAGTGTCGCCCAAACGAATAGCTTGACTCCCAAGTAACCAAACATAACCATTTGGAATAGAAACAATGCAGCTAGTATTCGGGTGTGAATATGTGGCCACATCCTTCCATAGCTCTCGTATGATGGAACATACACTTTCAGCGCCTGTCATATCCCGTAAAAGCCGATCAAAACCACCTGAAAAAATCCTTAAACCTAATAGGGTTTTATTACAGTAACTAGGGAGAAAGTCTGACCTGATTCCTCAGGATGAGCCACCCTAAACCGAAGTAGATAACGCCAAATACGAGGATTAGAGGAGCGATTACAGAATAGCAGAAGGTGATTGTGAGGATGAGCATGTCTCCAGGAACCCTAGTTGCATAGCTCAAGTCTCCTGGGTACCAAGCTTCTTTGACCTCTGCTTCGGTTTTGCATAGATACTTCTTTTTCAGATGGAATATTATCAACGGTATGATCCGTGACAGTTCGAGGCCATAGCCGACAAAGAACCTGAAAGATTCAAGAAATATAAGATTAAGAGAACAAATACATAAGTATAGGGAAAGGGAAACTCACTTGAGAGCGACGTAGGTCAAGAAGAAAGTAGCGTTCTTAGGGAGGCTAGTAGCCAAAACGGTAACAATGGAGTTAGGATTGTTTTGAAGAGCCTTCAAGTTATCGAACAAAGACCCTGCAAGTGTCACACCTATGAAGACATTCAAGACCGAGAAGTAAAAGTACTTCCCCGAGGCAGCTCTAACGGCGTGGCTCCGCGAAGGTATCCCTTCAGATTTGGAGAGGAACATGAGGAACTTAGGCAACATCGCCAAGAAGATGATGAGTGCAATCTGAGGAAGGTAAGACTCCAAGATGGTTCTTATGAAAGTTATCTTCACAACTGGCTTAATAAAAGGAATAGCCTTCTGTAGATTCGCAAGAGTGGTGATTGCAGAAACAAACGCGATGGGGATCATGTAAAACAAAATGGTTATTGCGACAATGAAGTAGATCAAGTACTGTCTGATTAGTCTACTGAAAAACTTGATCTTGAGATTCTCCCAGATGATCTGACGTGGCTCAGGTGCTTCAGTCACTGTCCATGTATCCACCATCTGGCTGTGTAGAGACTGTGCGGCTAAAGCTGCAGTGACTCGGTCCGTGAAGAAAACAATAGCTGCTGTTTGCTGCTTCTCAGCAAGAACCTTTTTCTGCTCTGTCTCTAGTTTGGCTACTGACTCGTTGATTAGCTCCGTGTAATACTCGATGCTGTCTACCTGTTTTCCGACCAGACCAAGCAACCCTGTCTTATTAGTTGGTCGGTTACTAGTCGCTGCGAATATCGCTTCTGCACGTGCAAGCTTCTTCTTGTAACCTTCCAAACCTTCCCATATCTTATTAACCTACAAAACAAGAAAACACCTTAAGGCAAAGCCCTAGACTTTTAAAGACAGAACAAGCAAGTACCTTGCTGTTTTCTGTGACGACAAGAGATCTGTAGAATGTCTCGGGGTATATATCTCTGAAGAAAGAATCTATGAACTCTTTCTGTGTCTGCCCGTTAGGTGGGGAAGGTATATCCCTAACAAGAATAGTGAACTGCTCCGGAATTACATCAGCAGACATGAGAGCTTGCGCTCTAAGTGTAGAGACATGCTTGTAAGCTTTCCATAACATGAAATATGTGACCAGAGAGATCCAGTAAACCGCTCCTAGGAACCCCCACAGCCTTGAACTCTTTCTCTGTTTAACAGAAAGGTAACTTAGAGCCAACAAAGATCATAATCAGTCTGTGGTTTTGTTTTAACTTACTGAGATGTTAGCCATTGATAGATTATCAAGTTGGCTAAACGTTCCTTTGCTTGTGGTGTCTGTCGCGTTCCTTGTGTTCTTTATACTGTTGTCCGTAGCGGCTAAAGGGAGGAGAGTCGGTAAGATGAGAAGACCCGACAAAGCAAATATCCCTAACACTGTTCCAAACAAAAGCCAATTTTCAAGACCATCAGAAACACTGAACATATCCAGAACAAATAAATTGTTTTTGTCTTCTTCTTTGTACTTTTTTTTTTCGGACAACAAAATGACATGTAATGATGAGTTATAAAAGATCAAAACGTACTTTAAGCAGATATGGACAAAGTAAAACAGAGCAAATATACAAACAAAAGGAAACATTTGTTTCCTCAATTGTCTCCAAAGACTGAAACTTTCTTAGGTAAAATTACAACCCCAGTTCAGAAAGCAACGAAATTCGGCAAAAATCAGTGATACAAAAGCTGGAGAGAGAGAGAATGTTTTTTTTTTTTTTTTGCTTAAATTTGGAGAGAGAGAGAGAATGTTGGAACCAGTGCTCAAGAAGACAAAGTAGACGGCAGTATCGACGCCGGACAACTTAACGACATCTAGTTCAGAGGAAGTTAAAGCTTCACGGATCCAAGTAAATGGGTTTCGGTTCAAGGAGCTGCCTTCCCAAGGATCCATGCCTTTAAGGATCCGGTTCGGGTAGTAAATGGAAACGTTTCCTGGTCTACGAGAAAGCCACGTGAAGAGGAACATGAGAACGAGGAAGATGAATGCTGATGTCCCTAAGGACAGAAGAAAAGCTTCGAATTCCATATTGGTTTTACCACACCAATTTCTCTCTCTCTCTCTCTCGCTATGTTTCTTACCTTTTTTTTTTGTTGAACTCTGTTTCTCTCTCTACTCCTCAAGTTTTATGGTGAAGGGAAAGTGAAAAAAGGTAGCCGTTTAAAGAAAAAGTAACCGTTTGTCGTTGAGGGCTCTGAATTAAAGAGGGAGAGAGAAAGTGTTTTGCGTGTGTGCTTATCTCGTTGTTCTTCCTTCCTCAGGTAATTGAAGGTGAGAGGAAAGGTTTTTCTTTTGTTTTATTCACAGAAATTTAAGAGAAAGACAAAAAGAGTATTGCTTGTCCTGTGGAATTGGGTTTTGTGTGTTTTTGAGGGAATTTGGTTAGATGGTAAGGAGAGGGAGAGGTGTGACACAAGAAACTCAAGAGCTTGTTTTTTTTTTTTTTTTAGACAATGAAACGCTGATCTATTACTCAAATTTGAGGTGGATTGAGAATCCAAACCGGAATAGAACAATCAACATACAACAAGAGAACTCAAGAGCTTGTTTAAGTGACAAGGCCGACAAGTGTTTGATGAAACATCCTGTGAGTGCAATAATTTTTGAGAGACTAAAAAAAACAAAAGTGTGACGAACGTCAATGTATGTTTCAATCGCTTTTTATATAAGTTTTTTTCTTTTTTTTTTTGGTAAAATGTAAAGTTTATTATACCAATTTTTAGTTTTTGATAGAAAACACAGAGAAACCAAGTAGTAGAGATGCATAATATAAACCAAACAAAGCATCTACAATATCTTTTCTTCTTTTTTTACCGTTTCTCACAGCTGTTTTCTTACATTTTAATTTCATGTGATCCCTCTACAATATTTCTATATTTCGGTTAACCGTGTTAGACAAATAGATGATATACTCCCTTGTTATACAAGTCTAGCTTTGGTGTACAACATATAGAGACCACACGCAGAATAAATAGTTGATGCAGTTTCAAGAAGTCAAGAAAACAATGCAGTTTCAAGAAGTCAAGAAAACAAAAATCAAAGACGTCGACGACATCCTTGACTATAAGAGTAAATGTGACAATAATCTCTCACTTGTTTTAATAGTATAGATTCTGATCGCGTTTAAAAATTCGCAAACACTATTTAAAAAAAAAACTAATTTACAAATTAACACTCTCTGCTTTTATTTACATATGACGTTCTAGACTTTTTCACGCAGAACAAAACACTTGACACATTTCTATTTCTATCCTTATTCATTAATTGACGTGAAGAGTAGAAGAGTTGAATTTGCTAATTAAAAGAATAATATAAAGGGTAAATAAAGTCAATTGTTATTTTAGTTTACATAGTTTTTTGGAAAAAATCAGATATAGTGGAACAAAAATCTACTTCTACAACATCACTTAAAACCAACCGGAGGGAGTGTATGTTAACATTTTGTTGATAACTAAAATTTAAACATTTTAATTTTACTGCATTTGAAAACTATACAATTATCTTATTTTATTTATATTGAATATGAAAATTATATATTACTTAATTTTGCTTTTAAATGATTTCAACTTGTTTGATATAAATATTTGATAAAATCTCAGTAATTGGTTTGACTACTTATGTGATATATATATATATATATATATATATATATATATATATTTATTTGATAAAGAGTAATTTTCATATTTACCACATTGTTGGTACTATTATTCATGTTTACCTTTATTAAAAAGACATTTCATAAATATCTTATTCGTTAAGAAACAAAAAACTATTATATCATTGCTTTATATATATATATAATTAATTATTTAAAAACCCAAAAAGATAAAATTTATAGTTTTTGAATTATATGTTTGCAAATTCAAATTTTCTTATAAATTTTAATTATTTTTCGATTTTTTTTTTAATTTTCTTTTTGAAATTCAAAAGTTTAAATATTGTGTTGTTTGGAAACACATGTAGTAGTAGTAGAAGGGATAAGATATTATTAATTTGAGTGTATTTAACTACACAGTAAAAAATGTATTTAATTTAAAATTTTGAAAAAATGTTGGGTCAATGAAAAATATTACTTCATCCGTTTCACTTTAATTGTCCTTTTAGGTTTTTACACATAAATTAAAGAACATTTAATTTTACATATTTTCAAGATAAAAATACAATTACTTATACATATAACCATTTTTTAACCAATAGAAAACATAATAGCATATAAAGTTATAAAATTTTGCATTAAAATTATAAAATGTCACTTATTTTAAAACAACATTTTTACTCTTCGATGATAAGTAAATTAAAACGGGGGGAGTATGTATTAATAAGAGAGGTGGCTTTAATTTTCCTTTAATTCATATCATTCCCACTTTTTGACACCTAAATAGTTAGCTCCTAATTAAATACTATCTCTTTTTCGATTTACTTGTCATTGTAGAGTAAATTTTTTGTTTTAAAATAAGTGTTGTTTTATAATTTTAATGTAAAATTTATTAACTTTATCTATTATTTTATTTTTCTATGGCTGAAAAGGGGTTATATATATATATATAATTATGTTTTATTTCAAAATATGTAAAATTAAATATTTTTTTTAATTTGTGTGCAAAAAAAAATAAAGGGAGAATTAGAAAAAAGAGACACTTTCAACTTTTAGTTGTCTAAATAGGATTTTTGATACTTTGCGTCATTTTGGACAGGTTTTACCCTTTTGTAATGGAAAAAATAGTAAACTAAATTTTAAAAATGTAAAAAAATATGAAAACCATTGGAAACATCAGTATAACTATTTATATGTTTAGATTTTTTTTACAAAAAAACTGTGGAATCATGTTTTATTTTATGTTATAGCACAGACATAATACTCATTCTAGCTATCTAATTAATCTAGAAATCGGATTGTAAATTATACACATAGATCTATCTTAGGTATATAATACAAACAAAACTTTCATCTATATTCTATATTAGCTAGATTTCGTCAGATAATATTCTAACAAGATGTCTTTAGTCTACTTGTAGTTTTATTGCGACTTATAACCGCAACTCTATAAAATATCCTCTCTTTTTTATGTGTCATAACTTGTTCTGCCTTTTATGTTATCAGTCAAAAAGACAAAAATCATTGTAAAACAGATTCGGTAAACTAAGAAGAAGAAACCCTAAATCCTAGATAGACTTGATCAAAAACATAAGAATCAAAGAAGAAACAAACCCAGAATATGAAATCACTGATTTGCGAATTTTTTTTAGCAAATCCAAGTATTTCGAAGACTAGAAGAAAAGAGATGATTTCTGATGAAACAAGGATTCTTCATAACCCTAATCGCCATTGATACAGGTTGAAGTTACGGCAGAGAGGAAGAGTAAAGGCAGTGCCGGTCCTGAGATTTATGGGGTCCAATACGAAATTAAAAAGTAAGGCCCATAAATAATATATAAATCTTAATTCATAAAGATTCAAATATATAATGAAAATTACAATATCTCCAAAACTAATATTCCCTCTGTTTTATTATAAGTGTTGTTCTAGAGTTGTGCACACGGATTAAGAAAACAATTAATTTTACATATTTCCTATATAAAAACACAATTACCTATACACCAACCACATTTTAACCAATAGAAAAACAAATTACATAATAAAATTAATAAATTTTGCATTGAAAACCGAAAACGACATTTATTTTGTAAACGAAAAAATTATCTACAACAATACTTAATATGAAACGGAAGAAGTAAATGTTTATCAGCTCTTAAACATAATTTTTTTCTGCAAAATCATCTATCAAATTTTAATAATCAAGGTTTTTGATCATAATTTTTCAGTCAACTAGTTAAACTATTTAATCTTTCCAGTGTAAAAATTAAATAAATTTCTTAGTCTATCGTACCTATAAGAGAACTATAAGAGAGGCATGAAAGACAATTGTATTGTGAAGAAAATATAATTTAATCTAAGAAAGTAATTCTATTGCCTAATCAGTTATTTTCCGTTTTAGTTTATTATCATATTAAGGGAAACTTCCATATAAATACTCCAACTAAATTTTATTAAGCTTTTTAATACCCAAACTTTTTCTCTACCCAGTTTAATACCCCAACTAATTATTTTGTCCATTTTAATGCACAAACTTTTATAAATGTGCCCATTTTAATACCCAAACTTTGTTTATTTTAATTAACAATAAGAATTAGTTTCCAATAAAAATTTTAAAATTTCTAAACTTTACAAAAAAATTGATTTTATTATATGTTAGAGAAATGAAATTAAATAAATTTTTTATAATCTTAAGTTTTGTAATAAGTTTTTTAAGTTTTATATATTGAATTTAGTTTTTTTTTCTGAAATAAAAAAGTAAATTATTATTTTTTCCTTCAAAATTATTTTTTTAAACATTTAAATTTTCTCCAGAGTTTATTTACCTTCTTTCTTAAATCTTAGAGTAAACTTAGAAATTTTAAATATTTTTTCTTAGATTTGGAGATTTTTTTAAATTTTGTTTGAAACTTATTAGTATTGTTAATTAAAATAAACAAAGTTTGGATATTAAAATGGGCACAATTATAAAAGTTTGTATATTAAAGTGGGCAAAATTATTAGTTGAGGCATTAAATTGGGTAGTGAAAAAGTTTGGGTATTAAAAAGCTTAATAAAATCTAGTTGGGGTATTTATATGGAATTTTCCCTCATATTAACTATCATAAAATGATATATAGGATGTAATTGTGCATGCATTTTACAAGAGGTCCCACCACATCTTAAGTCGGGCGACATTTATACATTGATACATTAAACAATAATGGGAAAAAAAATAGGCCCTAAATATTTGAGAAAAATCATGGACCCCATGCAAAAGTTTCATGGGTATGCTCTCAAAACCGGCTCTAAGTAAAGGGCAGAAATAATTAGGGAAAACCCTTAAGTTCCTCTCGTAAATTGTATTTTTTCCTTCTATATTTTACTTTTTTATTTTAATATTAAATTAATTACGTAATATTTTATTTATTATTTTGTAATTAAAAAAATT